TTTAGCTAAAATGACTAAATGACTTGTGACTTAGTCATCAAGTCATTTAGGTCACATCCGGTCATGTGCCAACACTGCCTCCAACTACTAACACAGACAACACATAATACATAAACAGGTAGGTATTAGCATGATATCTAAATGCTATAATAGTATTTTAAAATAGAAAATAAAATATAAGTATATAATGTATGTTTACAAGTATATTAGATAATAAATAATTAAATAATTGGATATTATTTACTTAGTCTAAATTCTATCAATATCCAAAATATAATTGGACTAGAAATGGACATTTCCAATTAATCCAGTTCTAATTGTCCAAATTTTTTTTAATTGGACTTTGTCCAATTCCATCATGAGGTGGAAACTCAAGGCGCAGTAAATTCGTGTAATTTTGGTTATGGGCCGGTACTATTTCATAATTTATGCCAGAATTTGGTTCGCAATAACTCGCCATCCAGACGTCCGATTCATGCGAATTTGGTATCATTGGAAAGCTCTCGGTGCGTTCTTTCTTATAAGCTGAAAACGCACGAATCCAATCAATAGAAACCTAAATATTCCGTCCTAAATATCAGCCAAAATTATAGCAATAGTGCTGGCCAAAAATATATTTTTTTTTGTAATGAAAAGTAAAATAAAAGGTGCCAATGTATGAGCAACAACTTCTTAGCAATAAAAAGGACACAGAGCTAGGCCAAAATAAGCAATAAATTTTTCAGAAACAGGCTAATGTATGACTTATTGATAATAAAAAAGCCACAGAAGAGAGCCATTGCGTAAATAGCTTTCAACAATAATAAATATATCATAGCAAATTTTATTTATCGAAGTAGCAAAATTCTTTGACAATTAAAATTTTATTCGTTTCGGTCAAACTCTTTGTTCACGTGACTTGTAGCACACGAGTTTTAAATAACTTTAAAAAGCTCCGAGATTTTATGATAACTTTTTTTTTTTTCAACATACTCTTCCAATTTCGTGAATTCGTCTTAATTAATTTCCTTTAGTTATTATGTCAGACTGGGGTAAGCTCACTTTAATAAAGTATTTTTTACTTCAAAAGTAGTATTAGTAGTACTTTATTAATGAAATTTAATTAATCTTTGTCGATAAGCCGATATTTCTATACCTACTATTGTCAAACCAATAAAGAAATGGGTTGATGAAGATGTTGATGAAGATAACATCAAGGTAAATTTTTAAATGTTCCTCGATTAATTAACTTATATTAAATTATCTTATTAATTAATTACTTTAGGAAAGCTGGGATATGGAATCATCTGACGAAGAAAAAAAAAAACCAATTACTCCAGCACCACCACCAAAAAAGAAAAAATCAGTTGCGCAAGTAATTGCCGAACGAGAGGAATTAAAAAGAAAAGCCGCTGAACAAATAGTGAGAATAGTAATTTATCGATTGAAGATTGATCTGTTTAAATTTAACATAAATTTAATAGTCTCTTGTCTATTCAGAATAACGAAGTTGATGAAGAAGAAGATGAATTAGAGGCACTTGAAAAAAGAAGAAGAGAACGTCAAGCTGTAATTGATGCTGACTTGGAAAATGCCGAGGGAATGTTTCAAGGATTAACCATAAGAGGTTAGAATTCGGAAAAAAATTTGATTTTAATTACTATGGATTAATTTTTTTATTTTGTTATATAGAAACCGAAGACGCTCCTTCAAAAAAGATAACCCCCAAGACCAAGGATCCCAAAATAATGGATCCCATGACAAAGGATCCCAAGACAAAAGAAGAATTCGAAGAATTCACCAAAGTTTTAGTTGACCAAATTCGAAAACATGAGGTATTATTTAATTGTTTTATATAATATTTTTTAAAGGATTAGAATTTCTAATATTATTGTCCACTACAATCTATTTAGAAACAAGGCTTGTATGTCAACTTTATTAATGACTTTATACGTGAACTTTGTGCTCCCCTTAGAGATGTTGATGTACGTAAATTTGCAAGTACACTTACAACTTTGGCAAACGAAAAACAAAAACAAATTAGAGAAAAAGAGAAACCAAAGAAAAAGGGTAATAATAAAGTTTGCTTCGAAAATTATTATTTTATAATTCTTTATATTTATTGAAATTTCGCTTTATAGGTAAACTTAAACCTGCTCTTCAAACTGAAAAGTTTGATCTGTATGATACAACGGATTATGGAAATTATGATGATTTCGATGATTTCATGTAAACGCGGGGTAAGTATATAATTTATGGGTAAATAGTGGTAAATTTTGTTCATTTTTATATTTATTTGATTATAATCTATTGGCCTTTCTTAATTACCTAAAATTTTAGCTCTTGGTTTAATTCGATTTTTTCATTCTCATGTTTAATTATTTTATATATATATATATTGTATATATATACTAATTTTATTTCATGTTTAGTTATGATGTATTGACTATAATTATGGTTTTGCTCTATTATTAATAATAATACTGTAATAATATATAGGTAAAAAGAAGGCGGCTAACTATTAAATGTAAGACTATTTCAAATATCCCATAAAAGAGATAGTTTAGAAAGTTGGTTTTATGACATGTGAAAGTCTTGTATCATTGCTATAGGCTAATTAAATAAGATGATCATGTGAAAACAATTTGTAGGAGTACTTTATTTCTAAGATTTTTTTGGCATCCGCTATTTATGTTAGTTTTTAATTAATGTTGGTTAGTATAGCGGAATCATCGATCCAAAATCTTTTATATATCTAGAATGCAATAATAAATCATCAATAAAGTGTAAATTAATTTTATCCCTTGCTTACTAATGGTCGTCCAATGATATTTTACGATATTAATATTTAAAGATATTTTAATAAAATATTTATTGAATTATTAAGAATTAAGAAATGATGGTTCTAGGTAAAATTTTAATAATAGCATTAACAGCTTTTTTTCACTGTATTTGCTTTATATTCACCTAAAATTTTCTTTTTAGACAATTGTACAATATATTCACAAACTTGTTGTTTCACAAATTTGAAATCTGTAATATTTTCAAGTATAACATAATTATATTTTAACCTAATTTTGAGTTGACTTTTTCTTTGAATTTCAGAAGTTGTTGGATTTTGAAGTATTAAAAATGGGATAAAATAGAAATCAAAGCTTTAATAATTTTCTGGGAACGGTAAAGAATGTTACACTAGTAAAAAAAAGATTTAAGTATATTGTTATCTTTTATTAACATATTGTTAAGCAACTTTTCAACTTTTCTAATAAAAGTTAAAAAAGATATAAAAACAAAATAAGTAATTATATTGAAAACTTTATTTATAATAAAATAAACTTTTATATACTTTTATAATAAAATTTGATGAATAATAGTAAAATAAACTTATTTTTTATATAAAAATAGTCAAAATAATTTTTTAATACTAAGACTTTTTGGTAAACATTCAGCTAATTCAATTATATAATTTTAAAATTCAATATAAAACATTAATATTAATTTGTTATAATATATAAATAGTATTATTTTATCATTAAGATATTTTAGCAATCATTTAATTGTATTATTATATTCATTTTGATTTAAAAAATAATATAAAACCTTTGCAATAGAAAAAGAAAAAATTACTAAGAAAAATCAATTTTATAATTGGAATTTTTTTGGTGGTGTTTTTCAGATTTTTACTAATTTTTTTTCTTTTTTTAATAGAAGTAGACTTTTCTTGCTTATTGGCTAAGATATACTACAAATTGGAATTGTTTTAGTAATATTTTTTTTTTCAGATTTTTATTACTTTTTCTTTTTTTAATAGTAACAGACTTTTTTTCTTATCAAATATAATAAATAATTAAATTTAATAAATTTGTAATAATTGGAAGCTTTATTATTTATAAATGTACTTTTCTTATAATTAAATATACTAAATTAATATAAATTATATCTTCATTTTATTATAATTAATCAGGATTACTTACTTATATAAAATAAATAATTATAAAATTATAAAAATTTGATAAAATATTACTAATCAGAATATGTTATTTGTATAATATTGATATAATAGGTAACAATAAGAATATCATATCTCTTTCTGCTGATCTACCCAACATACCTCAGCAAGCAAGCAAAAAGTAAAAAAAATTTTAACAATAACCCAAGTAAAAAAGCCTAATGCAGCTGTTCTGGCTTGCCAAATAACGAAAGAGCATTAAAGAAACTTCAACTTGATACCCCAAACTTTTCAAAGCTTATTTCCAATAATGACACTGAAAAAAATATACCAAAAGAAATTGAAATAGAGGTAGGCCTGTTCTTTCAACTTCTAATGACAAAGAAAAACAATCTGAAGTTCCTATATTACCAACTGCTCATTATGATAGAGACAAAGTTTTGACACCTCTGAAAATTTACTTGGATCTGAAAGAAATAATGATATCATTAACTTTGCTTAAGAAGATAACTCTCCCCTTTTTTCGCCTACTATGCTAGCGAAAAATTTCTTTTCAAATGCCTAAATAAAGAAGAAAATCAATTTGACCAATAAAATCTTCAATAAATCACACCTATAGTCTTTCATTGATACATCAGTTAGACTACATTCAGATGATAAATAAACCAAAATAATCAGAATTAGTTTTTCAACTCATGCTAATTTTGACTGTGCTATCACGATGCAGATTACCCAATTAGGAAATGAAACTTTCCTTCCTTTAGTAATAAATAAAACAACAAAATTTATCCCTGAATTATCGATCAAGATCATAGAGATCCTGATCTTCATATCTGCCTAAAATATTAGATTGTTCTTCTCCTTTTTGGCAAGATAACATGCTGCATCATGTTTACTAAAAATTTATGATAGCAGACCACAGTTACTTTTAAAGAAGGTACTGATATGTTACAATTAAACAATGTATACAGATATTTCATCCTCAAAGACATGGTCTACATTCACTATTGTAATCTTTAATTGATCATTTTTCCTTCTTTTCTGAATTAGTCTCTGAATCTTCAGAAATGATAACGATTGTCTTCTAAGATTAACAATAATTGTTCCTTATTGTACTTCAAAATTCACTCATTACCTAAATCAAAAAGCGAATTAGCACCTTTGATTCTTCAGGCCTTTTTCTATATTAAAAATATCAAATGTTAATTGAAGTTGCGTTTTTTAAAAAAAATAATTTCAATATTTACCTCACTGGTGTGACTGTTTTTGTATAAACGCTGATTATCACGATCTAAATTACCGCATTAGTTATACAATAAACAAATACGTCGATACCTGTAAAAGGCGCTAAGTCACTTCTTGACTTGTTTGTATATCGTTTTGAATCTTTTAATGCATTTACGGGATGCGGTATTACTTTTTGTAATATTTTAGTATTTTTTTCATTGCTGAACTTAAGATCATATCTTATTTTAAGATTGGTCGGCAGTGTCATTAAAATCGTTCTCATTTCATTCTAAATTATAAAAAAAAATAAAAGCTGGTTTCAACCATTTGACAGAACAATCTATAGCACTGGAATATTATATGCCGCAATTTGGGGTGAGTGCTGGGAAAAGGGATCAAATCAACAAAAAATTTTTTTTTGAAATAACAAATGATCTGAATCAGATGACCAAATCTACATCTATTTTACTTAGAAACTTTTTTTTAAAAAAAAAATCAATTTGGTCCATTTTCCCAGCACTCACCCCATTTGTAATCTTCCAAAAGACATTTGATTTAAACATGAAAATTTACTAATTTTTGAAATTATGCCTGGCCCGAATAAAATGAGTTTACATAAATAAATTATTATTTAGCACCAATTGTTGATGAATTAGAGTTACTTTGAAATAGTGTGACTCTAAATTGAACATATGAATATTAAGAAAGAAGGAGAATTCATACAGCATTAATTCTTGTTTCATGCGATATTCCTGCAGTAAGAAAAATTTGCGATTATGTTTCGGTATTAGTGTCATGTCATAGGTGCGAAAAGAAGGCAAATTATAAAAATCAGCAACATAATTTTGCTGGAATGAGTAATATGAACAAATGGTTTACTCCTTGGGATTCGTCACAACATTGAGAGGATGCATTTGGCTAGCGAAAGTGTAATTCAGACGTTAATAGAAAGCGATTTGTAAAGCATACTGGTATTAGATGGTCTGAGTTACTTCATTTACTATACTTTGATCCAATTTAATTTTTAACGGTTGACCTAATGCATTGTTTATTTTTAGGCATAGTGAAATGGATAGTTAAACGAATTTGAATCGATGAGAAGGTTTTAATTTCAGATGCTCTTAAAAATATCCAAAGGAATATGAATTAGATTCAAGTTCTAGCTGATTTTAGTAGAATCCCTCGAAAAATTGACTGCAGAGAAGGTTTTTCTAACTTCACAGCAGACCAATGGTAAACATTGTATACAATTTATGCAACTACATTGCTTTGGGAACATTTATCAGTAATCAATCGAATGATTCTAACACATTTGTTAGAGTTTATTCAATTCTGGTAGGTCGAATTCTGGAACTCGATTTGATACAAAAAGCTCACAAAAGGTTGATTAAAATAGTAAAACTTATTGAGGAACATTACAGGCAGTGATGTACATTTTTGATGTTCCAAACATTTTGAGACTGTCTCATACTATATCCCAAAATGTCTCATATTAAGTCCCAATGTCCCAGGCCATATCCCAAAAATGTCCTATGACAACACTGATTACGGGCATGATAAAATAACACTGAACCTTTACCTTTCGCTCCATTTACGAGAATACTCATATGATTTCAGTCCATTATATACTTTCTGGTATTTCTCATTTGAGCGTATGAATGAGATCCTCAATAATTGTAGTTTCTGGTTTTTACCAATTTTTATAACGAAATATGCTAATAAATAATGAAATATGTTAATATTGTTTAAGTTTATTACCAAGTAGTCATAGATAAATTGAGTCATAAATAATGCGCAGATTAATGAATGATAATCGTATTAGAGAAATTAGTAGTTCAGTAAATATTTGAACAAAAGGTTTAGATTTGCTTGATAATCAAACCGTTGTTGGTTTGTTATTAGAAAATAATGAATATTTATCTGATGAAATGGAGCAAGTTTGATCTAATTTGAAAAACATATGGAAATTTATTATTACTGGATGCAAACCATTTCCTGGAGAAATGTTAAGTCCTAAATTCGATGCAATATTGTCTAAGTCGATGCTTGATTTAATG